CCAGAACATTGCTGATGCTCTCGGCCACAGCTTTTCTCGTGCTTCTAGCACTTCTGTTTCTTCCCATGCCTTCTAGGCCATCAAGTCTCAGGCAGAGCGATCACTTTTTTTCTTTCGGGCTGATCGTCTCTATGATTATAATCGCCCCTTTACACTGGTGGAACTAAAACTTGCTCTTCATCGGTCTGGTAGTACATCGGTCGGACCTGATGATCTTCATTATGAGATATTGCGCCATCTCTCTACTGCTTCTCTTGCTATTCTTCTGGTTATTTTTAACTGGATTTGGCAAAAGCATGTTTTTCCTGATGCTTTGTGCCAGGCTATTGTCCTCCCTTTCTCTAAACCTGGGGAGGATCCCAAGATTCCTTCTAATTATCGTTCCATCGCTTTGACTAGTTGTCTTTGTAAAGTCCTAGAGAGGATGGTTAATGCTTGTCTTGTTTGGTTCCTGGAATCAAACACGCTCCTCTCACCCACACAGTGTGGGTTCCGTCGACAGTGCTCCACCATGGACCATCTGATTCAACTTGAAACGTCAATCAGGGAAGCCTTTCTCAAGAAAGAACACATTGTTTCTGTGTTCTTTGACCTAGAGAAGGCTTATGACATTATGTGGAGGTATGGAATTTTGTAGGACCTCCACTCCTATGGGTTGCGTGGCCATTTACCCATTTTTATTCAAAACGTTTTACTGAACAGGCGATTCCAAGTCCGTGTGGGTTCAACTCTTTCCCATTCCTTTCCACAGGAACTTGGAGTCCCTCAGAACTGTGTCTTGAGTGTCACACTTTTTAGTGTTAAAATTAATGCCATCACTAATAATCTTCCTCTGACTGTTGCAAATGGGCTCTGTGTCGACGACTTTCACATCTCGTGTCATTCGTTGAACATGAGGTTTATTGAGTGGCTTCAGACTGCCCTCAATCAGTTGTTGACATGGACCACTGCAAATGGTTTTAAATTTTCTTTTTCCAAAACCGTTTGCCTGAATTTTGGCAGCCACGATCTCGAGCTCCGTCTCAGCAATATAGTTATTCATGTGGTCCCTGAGGCAAAGTTCTTGGGGCTTATTTTTGACCGTAAGCTTAGCTTCATTCCACACATCAAGCAGCTACGCGTCAAGTGTGCAAGGGCTCTGAATATCCTCCGTGTCCTCTCTTCCAGCTCTTGGGGAGTGGATCAATGTTCTATGCTCAGGATCTATCATGCCCTGATTCGATCCAAACTGGACTATGGGTCTTTGGTCTATGGTTCTGCCAGGACCTCTGCCTTGAAGATGCTGGACCTCATTCACCATTTGGGGCTTTGGCTCTGCACCGGGGCTTTTTGCACTTCTCCAGTCCAGAGTTTGTACACTGAGTCCCACAAACCTCCTCTTCACCTCCGTCATTTGCAACTTTCTTTACAGTATGCTACCAAGCTTCGATCTTTACCACAGCATCCTACCTGGGAATGTGTCTTTCTTCCTCGGTGGACAATGCTCTTTCAGAACAGACAGTCTGCTATTCCTCCCTTTGGCCTTTGTATCGGTGCACAACTGGCTGAATTGGGTCTGGCATTGGATGACATTCCTGTCCCCAATGATCAGCCCATTCCACCATGGCTTATTACCATCCCTTCCTGTAACCTTTCCTTGAGTCATCTGAGGAAGGTGGATAATCCCAATTGGAAGTACCATTTTTTATTTTGCTGAACATCTTTCGAGCCATTCTTCTCTTCCTATTTAAATGGATGGTTCGAAATTGGGTGACTCTGTAGGTTCTGCCATGGTGTGCTGTGGCTCGGTAGTTGCTCGCAAGATCCCCTCTACAGTTTCCAGGTTGTATGCTATTTCTCTTGCCTTGGATCATGTAGAAGCTATGCAGTACAGTAATTGTACTTTAAACTGATTCTCTTAGCTCTCTAATGGCCCTGGAATCACCCTGTTCTCATCAATATTCAACAAATACTGGCCCAGTTTTCTCTATCTTCTGCTTCCATCCAGTTTTTCTGGATATCTGGCCACATCGGTATTCACAGGAATGAGCTCGCTGACACTGCAGCTAAGTCCATCTCCTCTGGTGCTGTCACGGCCTGCCTGTCTCGTACATGGACTATGGTCCTGTCTTCAAGGCGCAGCTTTGTGCCAGTTTGCAGTCAACTTGGGGTGAGCAATGTCATAACAAGCTTTTCCAGATCAAACCTTCTGTTGGTCTTTGGCCATCTTGATTCCGTAAGGATTGGAAGTTGTCCTGGCAAGGCTAAGCATTGGTCACAGTTTTTTGATGCATCGTTTTCTTTTATCTAGTATTGACCCACCAATTGTCTTTTTGTCTTAAGCCTTATTACAAAAGTATATATAATTATGAAATTCTTATAATATTTTACTTATAGATTTGTTTGTTTTTATCTTGTAGATAAATTCTGGGGCAATTGAAGTTCTAGAAAGATACCCAGTTCAATTGAAGATTAGAAGTAATCCATTAGGGCCATGCAAGATAAGGGGGAGAAAAAATAAGAAGGCATCTTCACCATGTAAGACTGAACACAGCTCCATACTGAAACGTGGTCGTGGAAGAACTCCAAGAAAGTCAGGGAGATATGTTTTTAATTCACTGCCATTTTCAGACAGTTATGTCTGTAATACTAAAGATAAGATATTGTTTGAAACAATTCATGATCATCAAAACATGTCTTTTAAGAATTCATCAGCTGACACTGCCACTTTAACTCAATTACAAACCACACCTGGTAATAAATGTGTGTCTGTGAAAAGAGAATGTGATGAAAACTCTTCATATATGTTGAATGTAGCAAAAAATGGGCACTCTTCCTTGCAAGTGCCTTTAGAGGTTAAAGATGTGCAGGAACTTCCAAATAATTCTCATGTTTTTCCAAATCATAAAAGTATTTTTTCTCTAATTGGGCCTCAAACAGAAAGATTAAATGAGTATTCTGATCAGAAAAAGGTTAAATCCAAATTGAAGTTTGGTTTAGTCAAAGACATACCTAGCAGTGATATTGGAAATATTGTCTTAAGCTCTACAGCAAGTCATGCCAATAACCACTCTGTAACAGAATTTGTTAAATCATCACCTAATGAATTAACATTTCAGTTTCCTAAGTCACAGAAGCTTGTTTCAAGTAGTAGTTCTCTTCATTCTTCTGATATTCAGGTCCACACATCACAACATGATTATGATTCTAGGGAGGGTATGAACCAACAAACTTTGAAATTGTATACTGATAGTCAAACAAAACCACCAAGAGAATTAACAATACCTCAAGATATTAGGTGTTTTGTTTCTTTGCCACAAGATGAACCTCAGTACTCAGTTTATCAAAGCCAAAGAACTTTGCCTACTAACTGTTCCCAGAAGAGGGGTATGTCTGCAGTTGGTAATAGCTCATCAGCTGAAAAAAGTGCAAGAAAGATATCCTTCACGTGAGCCACCTTCTAAACAGTTTGTGTTTTCTGCAACAGCACACAGCTCAATCATTAAGCCTTCTCCTCTCAAAACCTATCAAGCCTCAAGAGCAACAGCAATGCCTGAATTTTTGTCCCAATCTACCTCTAAAGATTTTCTTCAAGTGGCCCAACAGCCTTTATTGATTCAAGAAAGGAAAACATCCGATAATGCATCTTCAATCTTGTCATCTGAAGTTACTCATCTCAAAGGCCGGTCTGAGATGAAAAAAGCTGAAAACAAATATTCTTCAGTAAAATTTAACACTGATCACCACAGTCCAGAACCAACTTGTCAAACATGCATTCAGTCATTAGTGTCACAAAATAAGAATTTACAGATATTCTCTGGCCAGAACCAACTTTCAACTATTAAGAAATCTCAGTTTATAAATTCATGTCAATCAGTATCTGTTTCTCATCAACATGGAGTTCTTACACCACACCCAAAAAGTTTGTGCATGAATAAACACACTCAATCAATACAGAACTCGTACTCCCCAGTAAATATGATATCTACTAAATTTTATTCCAATATGAAGAGTATGTCATTTCCATCGGTAAATTCTTCGTTGCAGACTGAAAAAGATCTTCATTATGCATACAATAGAGAAAATAAATGCCTTAATCTTCAGAATAAAGAAATGCTACCCCAAACTTTGCCTGCATCTTCAACAGAACTCAGTGTTTTGTCAACTTCTGGTCCTTTACAGTACAACATTTCAACAAAATTTCAAGAACTACCAGTTGAAATACCATTAAGAGATCAAATAAGCCAGCAGAATATGTCTTTAAAAGACGATTATTCTGTAGAAGAGAAATCGTCAGCTGAAAATTCTAACAAATTTCTTCATTCAGCACATGTTTTAAAGTTAGTTCCAAAAATAAAGCAACATAAAGTGTATCATACTGAGAAAGTACCAGACAGTAATGTACTTTATACAGATTCACTTTTTAGTATGCAAGAAAACTCTTCACTTCCAAAACAGTTATTACAATCTGACCTTAAGCAGGTTTGGGATGAGTTCAGTGAAGACTGTACAGAACAAAGACTAATTTCTGTAACTCTTGGGCAGAAGAACCTTTCTACAAACTCTGAACATGTCTTAGATCATCCCATATCATCTTGTGCACAACAGAGAACTGCTTCGGTGATAAAAAAGCCATGCTTTTCAACTAACTATAAGCAAGTTCCAGATACAACTCTGCTACCTTGCATACAACAAATGGAAAGCTTACTTTCCAGAAGAGAGATGAACCATACTTGTAAAAAAAATAATTTTCAACCCTATAAACTACATCCAACAATGACACATCTTTCAACTTTTCCTAATATCCAAACTTCAGAATTTTCTGTATCAGCAGAACACAAGGAAGAAAAACAGTTGTCATCACCAAGAAATACAGGCTGTCCTAGTTCAGAGAGTCCTGCTGTTTCACCCTACACACAAAAACCAAAAATGTGTCCATCTCCAAAACACATAAATCTATTACCACATACAGACTATCACCAGATTTCAAATCCACCTACATCAATAAACATTGACCAGGAAAAGACAACTCCCCTTCTAAGACAAGCAGGTTTTATTTCTAATCCTCAAACTCTTTGTCCAACCAGTACACTACACATAAATCCAAAAGAAACATCTCCTGAACAAAAAAGGGCATTCGTTGAAGATCATAATTTACCCATGTCAGCACTCTTACAGGAAAAAGAATTGATTCCATTTCCAACACTAGCAAATTTTTCGGTAGAAAAGCTACACCAAAATCTTTCTATGACATCCTCCATTGGGCAAGGGAAAATGCATTTATTTCCTAAGCATGTAAATGTTCTTAATCTCCAGAACCATAATACACCCATATCTCCTTCCATAGAACAAAGACAAAAACTTTCATCTCCTACAGAAGTCAGCCTTTTTAATCTCCAAAGCCAGAATCCACCCATAGTTCCAAACACATCCAAAATAGTAACACTTTCATCTCATAAGCATGAAAATCTTCTTAATCTTCAGAGCCACAAGCCACCCAAAGATCTGTCCATGCAACAACAGAAAATGTTTGTATCTTCTACACAAGTAGAACGTGTTAATGTCCAGAGTCCAAATCAACCGGGATTGACATTTTCACAGGAAAGTATCATTTCACAATCTCCGACACATTCAAACCAATCGTATAATTTTGAGAAACAAGACAGATTTATGTTTCCATGTGGCGTAAGAACAGAATCACATACATATACTGACAATGACAGTTTTTTGTGTAATCCCTATGATTATTCAACACCACTTAGTACACACATGAAAACAAATAAACTTTCCACAGTAAAGAAAGGATGTTCTTTAAATTTTAACAAGGGCAAACATCAAGTTGTATCCGTTTGTTCACAACAGACAGTTATGTACTCTTGCCAGACTCAATCTATTTGCACTCCTAACCATTGTCAAACTAAAGCCACAAACTCTTTAACAGTGCAAAAACAGACTCCTCAACCTTCTGACTCCCCAAATTCAGTTTCACCCCTTGATCTAAACCTGAGTAACACCAGATCACCTGCATTTCAAATAAACTATTCATCTTCATCAGCAAGACAGGTCAGTCCTAATTGTAATCAAAGACTTGTATCACCGTATACCCAAAAAATAATTAATATGCCCCTAAGACAAACAACCCAAGTTATTCAAAGCCAGGATCAACCACCATCTGTTGGACAAACTCACCTTAATACTAATGAAAAGCTATGTCCACTTGTGGTTACTTGTAATGAAGGGTGTGATTTGTCATTTAACCAAAGCAATACTTTATCATTTTGTAATCCAGAGCCTGCAATCTCATCATCTGTTGCAGTGATTTTGTCTAATGGTTTTCCTTGTAGGCCACAGATAACAAAGCCCTCTTATCCTCGCCAAACATTTGGATGCTCGATAATACCTAGCAGCTCATCTGTTAACTCTCTTTATGAGACAAGACCACAGTTATCATCTAACAAAATTCAGTTTGTATCACCTACTCGGCCCATGTTTAGCCAGCATATTGAAAAACAAGTTGGTATATCCATGGCAAATTCCAGAAACTTTACCGTTGATTTTAAATGTAAGGCTCTCAATAAGCTGCCCTTTCAGAAGGAACAGTTGTTTGTTTTGGATAACAATTCAAGCATAAGTAAATCATTGACATGGTCAAAATCCAGAGCTGACATTCCAGAATACATAAGTGAAAACACTTGTTTTGATGTCGTCCAAAATTTAAACCAGGATTTGAATGTTGATAGTAAGCATGTATATTGTGATAACCTAGACTATCCTTTAGCTGTTAGCCAACACACTTACTTTTCACAAGACAAATTAACTGAACAAACAGTACCTACCACCATTAAAAAGGTTTCTTCGTTCATTGAGATAGAAGAGGCACAAAGTAAGGCCCAGAATTCTGGGTCTAACAATTCATATGAAGTACCCTCCAAGAATTTTTATTCAGTTCAGGGCAAACCTGAAAACTTCATACCTCCTAAGATCGTCATGCCGCCTCCTGCTTCCCCACACAGTAGAAATCATCCTTTTGTACTTCAAAGCAGCAAAAAAAATCCTTCTATGTCATCCTCTGAATCAGATCATTCAGTGTGTGATAGAAATGTTTCAAAGATATTTCCTATTTTAATTTCTGAGAATAATTGCCAAAATGTACAGTCAACATGCCCCACACCCTCTTATAGCTTGAGTCTGAAGAAGGATAAGAGCCGATCAGTATGTTCTCAGTCATCAAATATGTTTCCTGTTTTAGAACATCCAAAACATTCTTTCACTGATTCCATAAGTAGTTTATTATATGACAATATATTTTATGAAAAAGGACAAGAAACTTGTGTATCACAAGATGGAGATTTTTCAGAAGAAGAGAATCTTGTTACAAGCATTTCATCAAGTTTTAAACAGGAGAAAAAAAATGATAGTTTTAAGACTGAATTTGTTGTTCCAAGGCAACAAATTCCCCATTGTACAAAGCTGTCTTGTGAAGGTTATGATAATAAAAAACTTGAAAAACAATCAAATGTAAATTGCAATGAAATAGATCATTCCAATTTGGAAGGCCATAAGCCAGTTTGGAAAACTAACAAAATTAAAGATTCAAAGTTATTATCTAAGTCTTGTTGTAGTGCTGAGAAAGATTTGATATTATCTAAGGCTGTGGTTTATGTTCAAAATGAAAGCAGCAATATCAAAAATGAAAAAGATTTGTTGCATAACCATCCAAAAGGACCAATAATTGGTTGCTTCAACCATTCAGAAGAAACAGATAGTGAAAAAACATACAAAAACTTGACTTCTAAAGGATCTCCAGATTTTCTTCCACATAAGCATGAAAGTATTATTAAAAATGAGCTTCTGCATGCAAGTGTTAATCATAGGTCTTTAACAAATACACAAACTTTCTGTTCTTTTCCAAAACTCCAACAAGAGGATCAGATTTATACATCAGATAAATCCTTTATTATCTCGGAACAGAAAAATAGTAACTCGTCTGGGGCAAATTTTAAAAATTGCTCTGATTTAGAACAAGTTGATAAGATGGACTCAAACAATTCATTCATTTTAAATAATGCTGAATTTGTCACCACACAAACACACTTTTCTGATTATCAACCTTCTTCAATGTTAGGTAAGTTCCCGTCATTTGTTCAAAGCAATCCTTCTGCAGATATTTCTTGTACAAAATTGTCAAGTGAAATTAAGATGCAAGTATCTTCAAAATGCAGTGATGATGTGCTATTTAATACAGTTTCTAATGTACATAATCCAGCATGTAATGCTGCTAATCAAAGATTATTTTCAGTTCCAGATGATTTTAATGATCTTTCTGATGATCCTTTTGATCCATCTTCTTTTCTTCCATCTTTTCGTAGTGTTTTTCTAAGTAGTGATGAATCACAAGATGAGGAAGAGAAATCAAACATGTTATTAGCTCAGGATAATAAGACTCAAACTTCTAAGAAAAGTTTAAACAGTTTTTCTGTTACAAATAAAGCCGAGCAGCAGAATTCTGGAAATCCTATGCAAGACTCCCAAAGACTTCTGGATACACAAAATAAACACAAGTCAACATTTGGCTACAACCCTAATATCAAAACAGAAGTATCTTCTGACACAGACTCTTGTCCACAAACTTCAGAAACAGTTTTTAAGTATAATTTTTCAGATAGTAATAGCTCTATGCCTCAAAACTCGATACAAAGTTTTAAACCATTTGCTGATTTTTACACAAAAAAGTTTTTTAGTTCATCAAATTTAAAAGTTCATGACATTGTTTCCAATAAAACGAATAATCTGTTATCAGTACCTAATAAAGAGGAGGAGGGAGAACCTCTCAAAAACATATTTTTAGTTCAATCTGATTGTGAATCAACCTTTCAAGATGAAGAGATTGGGGGTGTGGCTATTGCCTTGACTCATGGCTCAGTTTTGTTTGAATGTGCTAAACATGAACTTCATGCAACTACTGCTTTGAAAAATCCCAACCGGAAAGACCCCACACGTATTAGCATGGTCTTTTATCAACATAAAAACCTGAACTATCCAAACCATGGTGAAGCAGAATGGGAAAAAAAGATGGAAGCCAAACGACTTGAAGATTTTTCAAATGAAAATTGTCTGTCCTCACAAAAGAAGAGAAAACTTAATGCTCATTTTAAGACAACCACACATGATGACGTAAATGCTCAAAAATCTCTTATGTCAGTTGCTACACGCTCCTCAGATGTATTGACAACAAATGCATGGACAACTGTGTGTTGTAAGCCACATATGGTCATTTCTGGCCCTTATGGAAACTGGATTTGAGGACTTTTTACCTTATATTTTATTGTTGTCATGATGTTGGAATTTTAACTAATGTGGCTTGGATCTACGTGAGAACTCTCATGAATTATTTGTACGTTGTCTGTGTGAATTTCGTATTTTATGACTTCATCTGTTTTTTTTATTGTACCTTTATTAGGTGGAACCGTATACATCTACAAATAAGTTTTTAAGTTGAAGTGATTGCTAAACATGTATCTCACCTGATCAAGATTTTTAAATGCCATTAAATTGTATATGATACTTTGTTTTTATATTTATTTTAAATTAAAGCAGTTGAAATATCACAATTGTGGATGTATCTCTTGATATGTTTTTAACTTTGTGTTGTTATTTTTTTATAACAATTCATGTTTAGCATAAGATTGCTTTTGAGCACACTTAAATGAATTGTTTTACAACTTGATATTTTATTTGTATTTATGTTGTATGTTAGATGATACCATGAATCGTATCCACTGCCAGATGTAAATATAGTTCCTGTCTATAAAATATATTCTGAGAATGAAAATTTTTTAAGTTGTTTGAACATTTTATCTGGAATATTTAAATTTTTAGAATAATATTACTTTGTTCAGATTTCAAAGTTATTTAACAAATATTTGTTTGTAGCTTAGTCTTTATTTGTGAGTGAACATTGTTTATATTATCAAGGCTTTGAAATATTTAGAGGATAAAACTAGGCCAACATTATGACATGAAAACAATCAACCAGCATAAACACTGCAAGTTTTGGTACTGCCACACTTTTATTCAAGCCTTGGAAGTATCCAGTACAAACTACTGTTTATTGTATGTCTAGTTTAATTTCATGGTGCTCATACTCTTAGGTATCAGATGTCAACTCAAGCCCTAACTAATTTTAAACATTATGAAATGTATTTCCATGTTTTTAGTTTATTTTAATTGAAATCAAGTTAGAAATATTAAATCTCTCACCTATCACTTTTCTAGAATTGTATGTCTGCTCACTCATTTTGGGATTACCTAGAATGCATTATCTACTGAGTTGGAATACATATAAAACATATGAAAGTATGTAATGTTGTGTGGCTTAGTTTTCATAGAACTTGTTTTAGCTTGCATTGCTTATTTATTTTTGTGATCTATGACTGTAGTTTTATGGTAAGTTGTTATTGGCAGGTTTATATATATATATATATATATATATATTTATTTAACTACTTGATTTATGTTTTTGTGTTTTATATTCAACTGGCATTCTTAAATTTTAATAAATTTGTACATAAAATTTGTTGGAAATTAAGGTGAAAAAAGTTTAAAGTAACCAAAATTTGAAAATTGTGTTTTAATAATTTGCCTGCATTATTTGTACATCTGATGAAATGTGGAAATTAAATGTTGTAATATAATTACTATAATTTTAAAAATAAATCCAAAAAATCTTTGCACATAGTTGATTAAATAATACAAAATTTTACACTTATACTTAATGTGTTCTGATGATAAGCTACATAAAAATATTAGATTTTTTAACTTTTTAAGTTGAGACAAATCATGAATAAGTGATTTAATGTTAATAATATACTGTAATTCTAGTGATGTTTTGCCACCTTTGTGTTGATCAAATGTGCAGTTTACTGTAGTATGTATATTTAATCCAAACAATCCAAGGCCCTATCATACCTTCATTACAAGTGTGTATTTGTTCAAACAGTGTTTTTCATTTTGTTTTTATTTGATTAAAACATTGAAAAATAGTAGCATTGGTGATGGTATTAGCTTAATACATGTCGATTTGTATGTCTTAATCATTGTATTGTGATTATACCTTTTTGCTTACAAAAAAAAAATTGACATCAAAGAAAAAAGGCACTTTCAGTTGTGTATTTTGTTAGTACTGGTGGTGAGCTACTCTCAACTACAATAGTAATCATATCTACTTATCCATAGCAGGATAAACAAATAAACTGAAAACACATCTTTATTGATAGACCAATTAAGAGAGTGTGACATCACTTTAAAAGATACCTAACACGATTTTACGAAAGTATAGTGTTGTGTTCCCTTACTTATCAACACTTTTTGTCATTATTCAATTGCTTAGAGATTCCTACAATTATTCATAATGTATCGTGTAAGTTCTTCTCTAGTAAGAGGATCTTGATAAGTCTTTGGTTTCTTTGCCTGTGTACAAAAAATTATGAATACAACTCTATGGTGTTTCTTTTTCTCTCGTTATATATATATATTTAAATGTGTTTGACAATTTGGGGTAAAAATCTAATTTTTTTTTTCATCTCTCTCTCTCCCTAAAATATAGAATTGGCCAGAATGATCTCATTGTTGGCAACCTAAAACATTGTAATAAATTCAATTTTTTGGTATCTTCATTGCACAGGATTTCAACCGAGAACACCTAACAGGCAAGGCCTTATTTCAGAGTCATTTGACTGCCCCACATTAGGCATCAGTTACATCTTTAGCATGCAAGATTTGAACCCGGGACCTGCTTGTACTACAAGCGAGTGCTTTACCACCTGACGGTCGTTGCCATGAGAGAGGGAGGGGGCGTAATCTGGGAACGACTCTCTTCCCGTTAAAAAAACAAAAAACAACAACATTTTGATGGACACGTGGTTGTAATTTTACATTCATAACCCCTTTTATTTGCTAATGTATTTATTCCATTTGACATGAACCTTGCTATGGCTATATGTCCAGGACTGCTACCGAGTTCCTGTTTATTTAGGCCTACCTATGTTATGGATTTCAGAAACGACTCAACCGAGAAAAATCATGGCGACGTCCATGCGACTGAAATAAAGGGTTAACACACTAGTGGTTGTTAGTAAGTCTTTCTTTTTTTAACAACTTCGTCACTATATTATAGCTTTGTTCACCAAAGCAACTACTTCACCAAATACTATTTAACAAAAAACTTTCGTTTGTGTAAACTTAATCTGATAAATATAGAAGAAGAAAAAAACGTGGGAAACATATATTAAGAACTTTACTAGACACAAGTGAGTGAATAACTGGTTTAACTTGAAAATCATGTACATACAATATCAAGCTGAAGTAGTGGCTCACGGCGGTAAATCTGTAGGATTACCACCCTAAAAAATCGGGTTTTAATATGCACGGTAGGCAGAGCACAGATAGCCCGTTGTATAGATTTGTACTTAACGACAACCAAATGAAACTGATCGGCCTGAAGTATAATATGCTTGAGTTTGACAAATGAATTGCAATATGACTAGCTTTATAACTCAATTTTTTTACTATCATTTCTCTAAAAATGTTTAATAAATTTTGATCTAACTAGTTATGGGAAGATGCAGTGTGAACGCGAAAAGTTTCTGCGTTATTTCTGTTAGAATTATTTCTAAATATTTACAGGGATACTGTGTACGAAAGAGAGTTAATGGAAATGAAACGAAATCTATACCTACCTCCAATCCATATGAAACATTAATTTTTTCTTAGCCTTGGAGATTTTGTAAACTCCTTGTACATGACAGAGCGAATTGATAATTTTTTTCATATTCACGTTCAGAATTTTAATGTTTTATATCTGTCGTACATGCGATAATGTTTGTGATAAATTTTTCATATTCACGTTCAGAATTTTTTTAATGTTATATATCTGTTGTACATGCGATAATGTTTGTGAAAATTTTCATTTGTTGATAATACCCAGTACGTTTGTGGTTTTATTACTCTGTTTTAACATGACGTTTTTTGTTATTGTTTTCTTAACAGTATTTAAACTATGTGGTTTTTATAATTTTTTTTTTCAGACAAATTCTGGTGTTTCTCGGTGTAAAACTTGTTTTATGTTTTTGAAATAATTCCTGCGAAATTAAATATTAAATGGAAATTTATTTTACTTGAAGAAACTGAGATTCGGTGTTTCTTTACTTATTGATGATATTATACTAACCCCTCCGTACTTGGTATGCAATTTAAAAAAATGGTCATGTCGAATGATAACTATTATAGCATTTTGAGATTAGTTGAATATTTAATATCCAACCGAAATTAGACAAATTAAGATAAATTTTCAGGGGTGTAAGATATCAAAATTGCCCAATCATTATTGTTTTTTTTTACCTTATGTTAACATATCATTTCCATAGGTGGAAGATATCAAAATTACCCAATCCTTGTTTCTTACTTTTTGTTAGCACCTCATTTTCCTGGGTGGAAGATATCAAAATTACCCAATCATTGTTTCTTATTTTCTGTTGACACCTCATTTTCATGGGTGGAATATATCAAAATTACCCAATCATTGTTTCTTATCTTCTGTTAACACCTCATTTTCATGGGTGGGAGATATCAAAATTACCCAATCGTTATTTCTTACCGTCTGTTAACACCTCATGTGCCTCTTAAAGGGGTGGGTGGCAAGAGTGTTAACTTTTTTTTTTTCTAGTAAGCTTGGACCTCATAGTATGGAAATCTAAGATGTTGTCATCATCGTGATCTTGATGCAGTACTTCATTATAGACACGCTTTATTAGTTTTATGGATCAGCTTCTAATACAACATTTTCACTCTGATCCTCTTCTCTGTATGTATACCACCAAACTGGAAAACTGCAATGGTAATGATAATATCAAAACCCAACTGTGCCCGGAAAACTATAGACCAATTAGCTTAACTAACACAATGGGCAAATAAATAAATAGAATATTCACCAAACGACTACTCAGCTTCTTAGAAACCAATAACTTACAAAATAAAAACATAAGTAAACAGTAGACCATTTCATTCGACTCACTGAAACAATAGTAGAGAAAGCATATAAATATTAACTGTTGTACTGAAATTACTTTTCTTTCTGTTAGAGAAAACCTCCGACTCAGTCTGGCATGATGGAATAAGATATAAATTGGCTAAATCCGAAATTTCTAAACTGTATTTAAGATAAATCTCAGAATTTATAAATAACCAATCAGATACAGTTAAATGTAACCCAACCGATTCTTTCTGTCCGTCTGGGGCCTGGCATCGCGGATCGCAGGTTCGAGTCACCGAACATGCTCGCCCTGTCAGCCGTGGGAACGTTATAATATGACGGTTAATTCCACTATTCGCTGGTAAAAAAGTAGCCCAAGAGTTGGCGAGCTGCATTCCCTCTAGTCTACAACTGTTAAATTATGGACGGCTGGCCTAGACAGACCTCATGTAACTTTGCGCGAAATTTCAAACAAACCAAACTGCTGAAGTGCCTAGGGGGTCTGTCATCAGCGCCACCTTTTTTTCCATCCTATGCAATAACGATTTAAACTAACCAAATAAAATACAATCACACATACACAAATTTTCCAGTTTGTATACGACATAGTAGTATGGCGTTTGTGAAAAAGTCCATATGTAGCATTATGGTGTTTGTCGAGAAGTCCATACATAACAGTATGGTGTTTCTCAAGAAGTCCATTACATACGACATCTGGTTAGCATGGACTAAACTTACCAGTAATATAACAGCGAAAACCATATCTCGTTTTAATATCCTCAAACCTCTTAAGTACATTGCAGATTAAAACTAATCTCAATATATACAAGACACGTGTCGTTCCACCTTAGAAAAGGAATGTATAACTTTACTTAAGATATTAGACAAAAAGTACCTTAAAATACAAAGACTCCAAAACAAAGCAGTCAGAATAATAACTAAACAACACACACATCAAAGAATTGCGCAGATCAACTAATCTCTCTTACCTTAAGCACAGGTTCTTTGAATTAGGAAAATAAAAACTTTTAAAAAACTTGAACACATAAATTAACCTCTTTCTTTCTTCTATTAAATAATGCTCCTCCTGGAAGGTAAAAAAAATTTCCTCACCTTATAACTTGTGTCAGCAGCAATAAGTGCCTACAGAAATCTGTGTGTGTTCTTTATGAGAAAAATGAAAACTGTATTCTAGGTATAGTGACTATTGCAGAAGAGGGAAAATACCTAGTCCTAAGCGATGTACCCTAGAGGTACCTACAAGCATGAGATACTAGTGTAGACAGGGATGTTGCCAAAGTTAGGTGCTGCCCATTGCCTGGAAAGTGAGTTAACATCAAGTATCGAAATTACAGAAAAAAAAAACTACTACACCCATGCAAATCGACATTAAGCAGAAAACATATCAAAAACAATAAATACAAGGGAAGAACCAAAGCTCCCCTGAGCCATGAGTTACACTCGTACCTCACTCGCATGATTACTCCTCTCTCCCTGTACATTTTAAGAGAAATATTTCACCCCAAAATTCCTGCTCTTTTGCCTTTTTGTTTCTAATACTGAAAAGTTTACATTTGCAAATGTGCTTCTACCAATTAACTCAATATCGTCGTGACCAACAAAAACCTCCTTCCTAATCTACAAATAATATTAATTTGCAATTCAAGACACTGGAAACACATCATGACCAAAGCAGACAGTTTACATTTGACTTATTCGTGTCTTCATAAAATGTGATCTGGGTTTCAATAATGTTATAAGGGATTTACAAACATTTACACCTGCAACACAACAACCTCAGTATTGTCTTCAGTGACATCAAACCAAACTTTCCGAAGTAAAGCTCGGCAGGTCTTTCTCCTACGCCCCAGAAGATCTTGTTAGTACTTGCTCTGTTCTTTTGGTATTGATAACCAGCATTTTTTTTAACACTTTCTTACTCTTCTTTCCTTTTGCAGATAATTAATATTTTTTCTATTCCATGTGCCATGCAAAATCGTTTCTATTGGGTAAATTTAACATTCTTCATTCTTGGAAGACAGGACCTTCTGGGTAGTTTCACTTTCATGTGGTTTGTTTGTTTGTAATTAAACACAAAGCTACACAATGGGCTATCTGGGTTCTGCCCACCGCGGGTATCGAAACCCGGATTCTAGCTTTGTAAGTCCGAAGACATACCGCTGTGCCACTGGGGGGCCTTTCATGTGGTAAAATGATATGAAATAACATAACATCATATGTAAGAACTGAAAAAGAAAAAAAAATAGAAAAGAAGACAATTGTACGTTTCACAAAAACTTCATTTATTCACGACCATGGTTTCGCCAGTAAAGACATCATCAAGTACAGGCTGAAATGGTTTGTAAACAGGTTTATATATATTTAATCAAAGTACTGAAAGTAACCTTGACATTCACCTTGAGCTAAATGGAGTGAGAAGTAGGGGGGGGGGACTTAAGTTGTATTGGTCACTTACAACTTTTTCTGGATTTGTTTTTAGACTTCTATTTATTTCTAAAATTTACAAACTATATAGTTTTTACCTTTTCCACAGATGTGTAAAATTTTGCTGTTTTTTTCTGGATCAAATTGGTGTTTAGTTTCAATAAGGTGTGATGCAAAGGTTGAATCCATTTTTCTTAATTTACAGTTTCTAAAATGTTTTTTAAATTATCTTTTTATGGAACGTCCAGTTTGACCTATGTATACACTATTGCAGTCTTGACACGTTAATTGGTAAACACCACTGTTGCTGTACGTTTCGATTTTGTCTTTGTTGTTACACAACATCTTGCCCAGGTTATTTGTACATTAGAAGTCCGGTTTGTAGATGGCTTTCTTCAATGTGTTATATATTTTGTGAGAAGGTTTACCAATTTAGCTTATCTTAAGCCATTTTTTGTTTTTCTTGTCATTTGGTACAGTATGTAGGTATATTGGTTTTAAGTTTTTGGCTTTTAGTTTTTAAACAACAATGTGTCAGTTAACTTTGTTGTATAACCATTGTTGACGTCAATTTATTTTATTGTTTTTCATTCAGTTTCATGATCTTCAGATGACAAGGGTACAATTATAAGCCTGAGTAACAAACTATGGAACACGGCAAGTTTGTGAGACATTGGATATCTTGCAGAAGCATGTATGATGGTGTCGGTTTTCTGAAAATTTCGAATGAATGAATGTATGCCGTTACTTATGTCAGTATTTAAGTCCAAAAATTGATGTTTGCGTTTTCACCAAATTCCATAGTAAATATAACAAATTTGTTTTGTGAATTCAGAAAAGTTATAAAATTATTAAGTTGGAGTTTGGAACCTGTCCAAAGACAAATTACATCATCAACATGTATCAATTATATATAACATAATAAGTGTACATTTCACAAAACTGGACCAATTAGCTGTGACACTGACGGGCGAATGGGTTCGTCGGAATAATAGGAATGCTAGCATTATTTTAACTTTTCATACACAAAAGCTTCTCTCCAATAAGTACGTTTCTTCATCAATAGGAATGTGATAAATTACGTACCATGTTGATACAAAGACTTGGGTATCGTTCAATCTTAACGGAACAGTTGTAGTTCAAAAACTGTTGGTCATGTTATGTTTTTCTTTGTTCATAATTTTTATTATTTTGTTGGTTGAAAAAAAATAAATAAACAGAGGATTTATAAAATGATGAAATCTCATTTATTCCGTGATTAAGTAAACTATAAACGTATGTGGTCGACTTATGAGACTGTACGTATTAGTAAAGTTCAAAATAACTTTGTGATATAATTTCTGTGTTTTCAGTCTTGCTTTTTTCATCTTTTTTAAACATAATGACTCCAGAACAAAATGTACTCACATAAGCACTGACGTAATGCATAACTCTGCAGTTTTGTGACTGGTCATCCTTGTGTTTGTGTACGAAAAGTTGATTTAAAAACTGCGTCCAAAAGAGCTAGCTTCAACAATGAGAAAACTAGGTATATCACGTTAAATGTATTTGGAAAAACGATACGCTCTGCTTAATTTGCATTAGCTTTCCCAGGGTTC